AAAAAAAAAAAAAGGAGCAAGGCAGCTCTCTGAGGTTCTGTCTTAAATAAATAAAGTAAAAATAAGTAAAAATTAAAAACTAGGTTTCTGCTTTGTGATGCTTATGTTTTTATGGCATAGAGACCCACAAATACAGAAATAGGATACTTTCACATAGCGAAAAGTGCTATGAAGGCTCGGTGCCCGTAGCCCAGTGGTTAGGGTACCAACCATATACACCAGGGCTGGCAGGTTCAAACCCAGCCTGGGCCTGCTAAACAATGATGACAACTACAACAAAAAAATAGGTGGGTGTGATGCCACGGCACTCTAGCAAGAGTGACATAGTGAGACTCCTTCTCAGAAAAAAGAAAAGAAAGCAACGAAAAGATAGCAAAAAGTGCTATGAAGATAAAATAGATAATGTATTAGAGAAGAGAACAGAATATAGTATATGTGTGTGCTATTTCAGATAGCAGATTAGATGTGACCTTTCTGTGGAGGTGATAGACCTGAATAATGAAAAGAACCCACCGGTGCTAAAATCTGTGGCTAGTGCCTGTCAATAAAAGCAAAGACACTGAGGTGAGGTTGATTTGAGAGTATGAAGAATGGAAGGAAGGCCATCATGAGCTAGCCTTCCTTAAAATGCATCAGAGAGACAGTCAGGGATTAGACAAGGGATTCTGTACAGAACTGCAACACACTAGCCAGTTCCTCTAGAATTGCAAATGTAGCCATTAATAGTTACAGGGATTTTTGTTCCTGTTAATCCTCAGGGGAACGTGGCTCTGCGCTGGTAGCTTAAGCGGCTAAAGTGCCAACCACAGACACCAGAGCTGGTGGGTTTGAATCCAGCCCTAGCCCGCCAAACAACAATGACACCCGCAACCAAAAAATAGCCAGGCGTTGTGGCGGGCGCCTCTAGTCCCAGCTACTTGGAAGGCTGAGGCAAGAGAATCATTTAAGCCCGGGAGTTGGAGGTTGCTGTAAGCTATGATGCCACAGCACTCTACCCAGGGTGATAGCTTGAGGCTCTGCCTCAAAAAAAAAAAAAAAAAAATCATCAGGGGAGCATGATTTTGGCCAATTTACAACAAAAGTAGCTTTGAACATGTCTCCTAGAGAAAAAAAATTATTCTTTGGATATGTGGTCTGAATTGTTTCTTCTCTGTTTGCTAACAGGTTCCTGGAAGGTGATGTGAAAGATCATTGTGCAGCAGCAGTCTTGACTTCTGGAACAATTGCCATTTGGGACTTACTTCTTGGTCATTGCACTGCCCTCCTTCCACCTATTGCTGACCAAAATTGGTCTTTTGTGAAATGGTCAGTTACAGATTCTCATTTGCTGGCTGGACAAAAAGATGGGAATATATTTATATACCACTACTCATAAATTAGTGCAAGATGGAAACACAATTCTCTGGATATATTTGTCTTATTATTTTTTGGAGTTGTAAGCATAAAGGAGAATATCTAAGTGATCTTTATAATAATTATTGTATATACATCCAGATAGACTTATATTTTTATTCTGATGGTGGTGGCACTACTGATCTTGAACGTTCATTTATATTTGGCGAAAAGGATTTTAAGTTGATTTCTGTAATTCCCACATTTGCACATATGCTTTTTAAGGTGTACAGAAAGCTTCAAATGTCAATAAATATTTATTTTGATACATTCTGCTTGTCATATTCTTTTTTTACCATTAAGATCACTTTAAGAAATAAGAACTAATTATCCCATTAGAATATTTAATTGATAATGTTTACATAGTAAGAGTAAATTTCAACTAACTTAGTATACTAATATGTAGTATACTTTTCTCTTTTTTTATCTCTAACTAGAATCTCACAACCCAGTTGTTTCTTTTTTGTCTTTTATCTTTAGCTAGACAATAATTCTTTTTACACTATTTGTAATTTATTTTCACATACGTACTACAAGTAATATAAGCCTATTAAACATCCTACTTGAGAAATACTTTCATTTTTCAGTCTCACATACATCCTTAATACTAGTGCCTGCACTGTCACTAGAGTCACTTTTGAGTCAACGACAGCTTTACCAGGTACATCACCTTCACCTTTGCCTTCGTCAGCGGTTCTCAACCAGTGGGTCGTGACCCACAGGAACTGTATTAAAGGTTCATGGCATTAGGAAGGTTGAAAACCACTGGCCTAAGTGATCTGGGAGAGAAATTGTTAAAGTACTAACATGGTGTTATCTTTGGAAATTTTTTGAGCGCTGTGACATCACAGCTCACAGCAACCTCCTAGGCTTAGGTGATTCTCTTGCCTCAACCTCCTGAGTAGCTGGGACTACAGGCGCCCACCACACCGCCTGGCTACTTTTTTTTTTTTTTTT